AATGGAGCTTCAAAATCCTTGCTTCCAAGGAGTAGGTTGGTTTCACTCTCTCTAGGACAGACTTGATTGTTTTCTTAGCAGTCTATAATATATTCAATACTTTTCTCCAGCACCACAACTCAAAGGCACAGATTCTTCTATCATCCTTAGTCATTGTCCAGCTCTCTGATGCACAGCAAGTAATTGCTAAGACCATGGCCTGGATCAGACATACCTTAATCTCTAGATAGACATGCTTGCTCTTCAGAACTCTGGAGAAGTCCCTGACAGCAGATTTTCCCAACGCACTTCGTCTTTAGATTTTCTGGCTGCTAGTACCAAGAGTGTTGACTGTAGAACCAGGCAAGCTGAAGCTATTTAACAATCTCAATCTCTTTCTCATCCATAGTGATGTTTCCAATTGGCCCAGTGGTAAAAATCTTTGTTTTCTTGATGTTGAGCTTTTATCCATATTGAAGGCTGCAGTCCTTAACCTTTTGCAGCAAATGTCTCAGATTCTACTCAGTTTGGCAAGAAAGATAGTGCCATCTGAATAACGCCGGTTGTTGATTAGTCTTCCTCCAATCCTGATACTACATTCCTTGCTCTTAAGAGCCTGGCCTCCCAGATGATCTGTTCTACATAGAGTTTGAAAAAACTATGGAGAAAAGACACATTACTGACGTACACCTTTCCTGATTTTGAACCACGCAATGTTTCCTTGCTGTTGCTGTATTCTGACAACTGCTTAGTATAGGTTTAGCATAAGCACAATCTAGTGTTCTGGGGTTCCTATTTTTCTCAGGGTCAGCCAGTGTTTGTTATGATCTACACAGTCAAATGCCTTTGCTTAGTCAATGAAACACAGATGGACATTCCTTTTGTACTCTCTGCCTTCAGGTAAGATTCACCCAACACTGGTTATAATGTCACTAGTGCCATGATATCTTCTAAACACAGCCTGCACATCAGTCAAGGCAAAGGGAAGAAATCAGGATGTGAAGGAGTCAAATGGAAGATTTCAAAGGACAGCACAGAAAGACAAAGCAAACTATTATAATGAAATGAAATGTGCAATGAGCTGGAGTTGGAAAATAAAAAGGGACGAACTGACTCAGCATTTCTCAAGCTGAAGAAACTGAAGAAGAAATTCAAGCCTCGAGTTGCAGTACTTAAGGATGCTGTGGGCAGAATGCTGAATGACACAGGAAGCATCAAAAGAAGATGGAAAGTATATACAGAGTTAATATACCAAAAATAATTGTCTGACACAGAAGAATTTCATGAAACAACATACGATCAAGAGGCAATGGTGATAAAGGAGGAAGTTTAAGCTGCTCTGAAGGAACTGGAAAAAAAAACAGGCTACAGGAATTGATGGAACACCAACTGACAATCTCAACAAACTGATGCTACTCTGGACCTGATTACCAGGTTGTTCCAAGAAATCTGGAGGACAAGAACCTGGCCAAATGTCTGGAAGAGATCTACATTTATTCCTATTGCAAAGAAAGGAGACCCAACAGACTGGAAGTCATCAAACGATATCATATGACATGCAAGCAAGATCCTGCTGAAAATTTTCCAAAAACTATGGAAACAGTACATCAACATATTCCTTGTGTTACTATACGACAATTTTTAAACCTATTTGTTTGTTGATGGACATTTGAGGTATTTCTATTTTCTTGCTATTATGAACAATGCTACTATGAACACTGACATACAATTTCTCATTTGTGTCTCAGTTCTATTTTCCTTGGGGTATATTCCTAGCAGTGGATTAGCTGGTTTATATAAAATTTCTATGGTTAGCTGTTTGAGAATTGCCTTGCAGAGTGGTTGTGCCATTTTATAATCCCACCAACATCCTCTCCAACAGTTATTGCTTGCTGTCCCCCCCCAACTTTGTCATGCCTACTGGGTTGAAATAGTATCTCACTGTGGTTTTGATTTGCATCTCATAATTATTACCAGTGATTTTATGTATTTCTTCATGTGTCTGTTGGCCATTCTAAAGTCTTCCTCTATGAAAAATCTTTCTATATCATTTGTCCATTTTGTAATTGGGTTATCAGTATTTTTCTTCTGGAAGCCCTGTAGTATTATGTAAACTTTTGTTATGAAACCCTTGTCTGAGACAGCATCGCCAAATGTTTTTTTCCCAGCCAGTCAGCAGGTTTTCTTTTCACCCAACTGGTAAAAGTTTTTCTATGCATAACTTAATCTTTAGAAGGCCCTGTTCATTGATATTATCCTCTCTTGGTTGTGCATTCATGGTATGTTTGCCAGACTCTTTTTACTATAGGTCAGGCCTTCTACACTTGGTCGTATTTTGTTTCTTTTGATCTTTGTGGTTTGAGGTTTTACCTCAAGGTCTCTGATCGAGGCTAAATATTAACAGGAGAAGACTATCTGCCCATATTTCTCCCTGAGAGCTACTGATGAATTCTAACTACAAATTCTCTAATCTATCATCTGTGATGACTATTTTAACGTCTTTAGTGGAAATAAGAATTTTCTCGCGGGGGGGGGTGAGCAGGGAGAAAAGTGCAGCAATGAATGAATGGAAATCCAAAGTCTCTGTAAACGTTGATTAAAATTAACAATAAAAAATATTAAAAACAGTTTTTTCATTAATTTAGAGATGAATAAAGCAAGACCTGCCTAAGTGAATTATGATAACAAACAAACATTCTTTCCTTTTTACTGATATTCTTTTTGATTAGTTTATCATAGATTTAATAGTTATTTTCTTTCATACATTTAAAAACTATTTGATGAATTAAAATGTTTTCTTCAATTACGTTTCTTTAATATCAGTGCTTTATTCTTCCTGTTTATAAAAATTTCAAGTTATGTTTTTAAGTACAATAAATTTTTTGTTGTGTGATATATAAGTAGAATATTTCACTCCATGTAAAGAAATAAACATTTTTAATATGTTTCCAAAATCAAACCAAACTTTTTGCCAGAGTCAGTTACCACTCATAGTGACCCTTACAAGAATCACTGTGAGGGGAGCTCTAGTGGCCTAGTGGCAAGAAGCTGCACTGCAATCCGAGAGGTATGCAGTTTGGATCCACCGGATGCTCTGCTGGAGAAGGAGGAAAAAGTTCCTCCTGTCTCAGTCAGATAAGATTTGACAGTGCACACACACAAAAATAATAATAAATTTTTTTTTAAGAGTGAAAAAAAGGGTCACTGTGAGTAGAACTGCCCATTTGGTTTCTGAGGATGCAAGTTTTCATGAGAGCAGATTGCTCACCTTTCAAGGATCATCTGTTAGACTTGAGCCACTGACCTCGCAGTTAGCCCAATCCTTAACCCATTATGCCATCAACAATACGCACTATGCTAAATGGTTTTTGTTGTACAGTATTTTATTCAAGCTGGAAAGATAAATATTTACTATACTTATTATATGGGGATCTTTTGAAAATTCAGCATTCTAGGACCTGAATGATAGGATTAATAATTAAATTAGAACTTCAATCCTTTGTATGAAAATGTGTCATGGAAATTAGTTGCATTCATAGCTGATGTTACCTAATCTCATTTCTCACTGTGACAGATAGTTTGCAAATAATATAGTACCAGGAATCACAAAATTATCCCTGCTCACCCCTCTGCAGCCAATTATGTTGGCAGCCCATGGCAGGTTACTGTACTTTCTGAAGCTTATTTACTCATGCGTAGGTTAACTTGATGTTGTTGTTACATGCAGACAAGTCAGGACCAACTTATAGCTGACCCTCTAAAAGATTTTCAGAGGCTGTAAACCCCATGGGAGGAGGTTGCCTATCTTTCCTCCAGAGCAGCTGGTAGACTGAACTGCCTGCGAGCTGGCAGTGCAACTTCCTACTACTCCTTCTCAGCCCATGCACCACCATCACCATTTCTAACAGAGAGCCACATCCAGAAGGTTGAACCCTTACCAACTACTTTCACTCTAGTCCTTGAAAAAGCCCAGACTCAACTGTGTGAGCTACGGACTCGATCTTGTTGGAAATCTCCTTCTGTGAGGAAACAGTGCTGGCTGCTTTAGCAGTTCCTCATTTCCATTCCCATTCTGAGACATACTACACTCCTGTGCTTGAGGTCCATGAAATACTACAAATCTACAGAGAAACAGTCATAACATAAAAAGTGCCCGGCTGAAAAAAAAAAAGTGCCCGGCTGGTATTGGAGTGAGAAAGGTCAGAAGAGCCTCAATAAGATTTCCTTAACCATAATTTGCACATTAAAACAAAACTATTTTTACACCCTTAAGGAATCTCTGTATTTGTGTGTGTGTTCACAAATTAAAACCTGAATTATGAAAGTAAACTGTTATGGAACATAACCTTAATTAAACTCTGCATCACAGAGTAATAATTATCACATTAGTAAAAATAAGCACTAGCCCTGAAAGTGGATAAGCCCTGTCTGAAGCCACAGTGACTCTTCCAGGTCACTAAGTTACTGTGTACTGTCAAGTCAGAAATGGCTCCTATCTGACTCGCCAGTGCGTTTTCTGAGGCAGTAAACTGCATGGGAAGAGATTGCTCTTGTTCTCCAGCAGAAGAGTTGGGAAATGTGAACCACGCACCTTTGGATTCATGGTGCAATTCCTTATCATTAAGCTACCAGAGTTCCCTGAAGGTCACTAGGGTACCCCTTTAATTATTGGCTCAGCAAAATTAACCTGAAAAATTCAAGCTCTAAAAAAGCTCAGCTGTCTGCCTCAACCCCTCCAGCCCTAAAATAGTACATCTTTGCCTTTACTGTTTTAAGATCCAATTTTAAAGTAAACAGAAGAATCACAAAATCAACAAGGATATACTCACAGCCCAAATAACAGACTCTGAGTGGGTCCAACCAAAATATAGTCATAATTTGAAATGAATGACAATGCACCTAACATCCCTTTCCTTGTTTGTTGCCCTTCTAATTCCTGAGAACAGTTCTAGATCCAATTAATTATGCACATTATATTATTTTCAAACCATCCTTTAACAAAGTTAAAATTAAATACCTACTGTTGATCAGTTCTTTATGTTCAGCAAGGGTTTTTGCAGGATCCAGCCAGTACTGTGTAAGAAAAAGAAACACAATTTTAGAAATAGTTGTTTTTCTTTGGTCTTCACTTCTAGACTATTTCCAAGGTATTACTCTAAATGATGCTTGAATACTCAAAGAAAAGATCATGTACACTCACTAACATATATAAGATCTTATGCAGCTGTTGTTATGTGCCATCGAGTCGTTTGCGACTCATAGCGACCCTATGTACAACAGCCCTAAACCCTGCTCTATCCTGTGCCAATTGCACTGTCTCTGACACACGCATCCCAATTACCCCAGTCACTGAATCAATCCACCTCATAGAGGGTATTCCCCTCTTGCACTGTCCCTCTACCCTACCCAGCATGATGTCCCTCTCTAAAGACCTGTCTCTCCTTACAACACGTCCAAAATATGTCAGACGAAGCCCCAGAATCCTTGTCTCCAAGGAGTAGCCTGGTTTAGCCCTCTCTAGGATGAATCTGTTTGTTTTCCTAGCAGTCCATGGTACGTTCAATACTCTTCTCCAGCACCACAACTCAAAGGCGTCAATTCTCCTTCTATCCTCCCTAGTCATTGTCCAACTCTCTGCTGCATAACAAGTGACTGCAAAAACCATGACCTGTATCAGGCACACCTTAGTCTCCAAAGAGACACTGTTGCTCCTGAGTACTTTAGAGAGGTCCCTAACCGCAGACTTTCCCATTGCACTACTTTTTTTTTTTTTTTTCTTCCTGGCTGCTGGTGCCAAGAGTGTTGACCGTGGATCCAAGCAAACTGAAACAATCTCAATCTCTTTGCCATCCATCCTGATGCTACCAATTAGTCCAGTGGTGAGAATCTTTGTCTTCTTGACATTGAGCCTCAGTCCATACTGAAGGCTGCAGTCCTTGACCCGCTGCAGTAAGTGCATGAGGTCCTCCTCAGTTTCAGTGAGCAGGGTTGTGTCATCTGCATAACACAGACTGTTGATAGATCTTCCACCAATCCTAACGCCATGCTTCTCCTCATAGAGCCCAGCCTCTCGGATAATCCGCTCTGCATACAAGTTGAAAAGGTATGGAGATAGGACACATCCCTGGCGTACACCCTTCCCAATTTTGAACCATGCAGTGTTACCCTGCTCTGTTTTTTTTCTTTTTAATTTTCTAGCTTATGCAGCTATAAAATTAAAAAGAAAAAATATATCAATGTTAAAAAAGAACTGGAGAAGAGAAATAGTGCTTGTTAATTTTTTTTGTGGAATATTTGAACCTATTTTAAAGTCTGAAGTACCAAGATGTTTATAAGTGAGCTCCTAACGTCTTTTAGGGGGAAACTGCACAGCAAGGAATGCTCTCCAACACTCAGCATCACAACACTTAGCAGGGGTGTCTCCCTCTAAAATGGCCTCATCCTCTTCACTGTCACACCTCACCACTTTCAGCACCATCTCCTACAAGTCAATACCTATAGATACTGTTAGGTGTCATTGTTGTTGTTAAGTGCCATCAAGTCATAGACCACTCATAGGAACCTAATGAACGAAAGACCTGAACAGTTGTATAACTTTCATCATTTTTCCAAGTTCATAGAGTTTCCAGAAGCAAGCTATTTCAGAAATGCCACTTCTGTTTCCAAGCTTGTTTTAATTAGGGAACTCTACCAAACACTGTCCACCACTGGTAACCATTATCACATTGACATATCAGTGTCACAGTGTTTAGCAGCAGACGAGTTAGCTCTGTACAGTAAATGGACAGACTAGTGTCATACCACTTACAAGAATGTTTGACCACAAACAATTAAAATCAGGCCTGAGGGCCACAAATTATAAACCACCCACCCACCTTTGGCTTGGTAGCATAACTTTCTACCCACTAGGCCAATAGAGCTCTCATGTTGTTGTTAATGTTGTTGTTAAATGCCATTGAGTTGTAGACTACTCATAGCCACCCTATGAACGAAAGACTCGAACACTCGTATAACTTTCATCATTCTTCTAAGTGGTATAGCACTGGTTTGCCCATTTGCCATACAGAGGAAACTTGTGGTTGCTGTGATGCTGAACACTGTGACACTGATGTGTCAAATGGGATAATGGTTACCCTTGGTGGACAGTGTTTGGTGGAGCTCCCTGTTTAAAACAAGCTTGGAAGAAGGAGTGGCTTCCACTTCCAAAACAGCTTGCCTCCAGAAACTCTATGAACTTGAAGAAACGATGTTATGTGTTAGAAGAAATGAAATTAAATGATAGCTAAGGGTACACAAGAAGCAGTGGCTGTAGGTCAGTGATACAGAACCGTGGCCCTCCCTTCTTCATCACTGAGTAAATACACATCTCTGAATCTTCTTCACATTGTTCATGTAAAAATTCAATATGCTAATTCATGTAAAATTTTCATACTTCTTAGCTCATGGTAAGTACACAATGCATGCTAATGATGATCATTAATAAGGTGTGAAGATCAATCATCTTAATAACTGCCTGCAGGCAATCTATTACTTAAGGAGCTTTGGTGAAACAGTGGTTAAGCATGCAGTTGCTACCCCCACTGCTGGCATTCATACCCATTAGAAACTTTTCTCTTCAAAAGAAAAACAGCAGTCTACTTTCATCAAGATTTTTAAATACTGATGTTGAGATGGCTCCAACTCAAAGCAACTCTCCATTGGGCTTCTGAGGCTTGTTCCAGGAGGAAAGTGTCCATCTTTCTCCTTCAGAGTGACTGGTAGATTTGAACTTACAACCTTTTAGATAAGGTTAACATTATGCCATCAGTGCTCCTTCCAGAAAGGCAACAGTCTCGGAAACCGCTTCTCATCTGAGGAAAAGCATGGGAGAAGCCAATGAAGAAGAGAAAATAATTCTCTCAGAAACACCCAGAATTCTCACAGAAACACTGTCAAAGGCATAAGGATGCCCATTAAGGGACAGGGAAACTAGAGCTGGAGCCTTTTGTCCTGGCTAAAAATAGGGGACTTCATGGACCAACCTAACTAGAGTGTATACTTTGTGGGTCCCTAAATGAAAAAGGGACTATTTCCACCACACAGAGGTAAGAACTGGCCCAACATAAGTGATCTCATTGTCTGTACTCTTCTATTTGCCTCCTAAAAACATTCACACATCCCTGGTACCCCTTGGGGCAGGAAGGTTAGGCACTGAGAGGCTAATTATGTGGCACCCTGAGTCAAGAATCAAGGGGCCACATTAGGAACTCAAGAGAATCTTTTTGCAAAAGCAACTCTTTCCCTTCTCAATTGACAGAAAGTTGTCTTTACTATATAAGTAGTGATTACAATGTTTCACATAATTCCCTTCCTTTTTACTCCTAATTACGTATAATAGCAATTATTCATACTAAATCTGTGCCACATTCAGTCAGTGTAAGACTTTATTACAATACTAAGCTTCAGTCACACACACATACACACACACACACACACACGCACACACACACATATATCACTCAAATAACAGATTCAAATTTTCAACTGTTTAAAAAAGAAAGTAACAAATATATACATATACATATTTTTATACAAATAATAAGCCTAACAGGGTTTTGGGTAAACCAAGCACTGACCTCCTGTGTTCCTGTGTGCTAGCTGCTCTGTCATTTATGTAGGGTCATTGCTGCTGTTATGTCCTGTCGAGTTGCTTGCGACTCATAGTGACCCTATGTACAAGCCCTGAACCCTGCTCTATCCTGTGCCAATCTCACTGTCTCCAACACATCTACCCCCATTACCCCAGTCTCTGAATCAATCCATCTTATCGAGGATCTTCCTCTCCTGTGCTGTTCCTCCATCCTCCCAAGAAAGACATCCCCCTCCTAGGATTGGTCCTTCTTTGCAACATGCCCAAAGTATGTCAGATGGAGCTTCAGAATCCTTGCTCCAAGGGGCAGCCTGGTTTCATCCTCTTCAGGATGAACCTGTTTGTTCTCTTAGCAGTCCATGTTCTCTTAGAGTCTATGCAATACTCTTCTCCAACACCACAGCTCAAAGGCATCAATTCTCCTTCTATCATTCCTAGTCGTTGTCCAGATCTCTGATGTATAGTAAGTAAATGCAAAGACCATGACCTGTATCAGGTTCACCTTAGTCTCCAGAATGACATCATTGCTCTTCAGTACTTTGGAGAGGTCTCTGACAGCAGACTTTCCCAATGTAATAAGTCTTTTGATTTCCTGGCTGCTGGTGCCAAGACTGTTGATGGTGGAGTCAAGCAAAATAATGTTGTTAACAATATCCATCTCTTCACCATCTATCATGATGCTGCCAATCAGCACAGTGGTGAGAATCTTTGTTTTTCTGATACTGAGCCTCAATCCATATTGAAGGCTGCAGTCCTTGACTTTTCTGCAGCAAGAGCTTCAGGTCCTCCTCAGTTTTCAGCAAGCAGGGTTGTGTCATCTACATAATACAGAATGTTGATGAGTCTTCTCATCCTGATGCCACATTTCTCACCATACAGCCCAGCCTCCTGGACAATCTGTTCTGCACATAGAATGAAAAGGTTTGGAAGTAGGACACATCCCTGGCATACACCCTTCCCAATTTTGAACCATGCAGTGTTTCCTTGCTCTGTTCCTATGACTGCGTCCTGGAGCAAGTATAGGTTCCACATTAGAACAATCAAGTGTTCTGGGATTCCCATTCTTCTCAGAGTTAGCCTCAGTTTGTTGTGGTTTACACAGTCAAATATGCCTTTTAATAGTCTATGAAACACAAACAGACATTCCTCTGGTACCCTCTGCTTTCAGCCAAGATCCATCTAAAATTAGCTATAATATCCCTAGTACAATGGCCCCTTCTTTTTTTAATTTTATTAAAAATTTTATTATTTATTATGTGTGTACCATCATATCAGATCTGACTGGTACAGGAGGAGATTGTTCCTCCTTTTTCAGCAGAGCATCAGGTAAATTCGAACCGTATACCCCTGGGATTGCAGTACAGTTTCTTGCCACTAGGCCATCAGAGCTCCCTTACAATGGCTTCTTCTAGACCTAGCCAGCACCTCTGGCAGTTCCCTGATG